GGCTTTAACCCTCAAAATCAATGACCCTATGAAGCAACAACAAATGGAGCTCATGCAAGAGAGCTTGAGCAAGCTATCTAGTGACTACAAATTCAAAGGCATTAGTTCACAAGGGGTCTCGCTGGACAAGGAACTTCTTCCGCATAAGTTCAATACCACTGACATCCCTAAATTCAAGGCAATAGATAATCTTTATCTTCACTTAAGAGCCTTTGAAACTATAATGAACATTAAGGGAATTGATAAGAAAGTATTTCATTCCTTGTTTTCTTTATCACTTGAAACTGTTTGTCAACAATGGTTCTTTTCTCTTGATAAACAGAAAACCTCTACTTGGGATGCTATTGTAAACGCTTTCATGAATAGATATATGTGTAATATTCAAGTCGAAACCGATTATAGACAACTCGAGATGCTAAGACAAAAAGAGAATGAAGGTTTTACTTCTTTCTTCAATAAGTGGAGGGAAACCTCCGCTAAGATGATTGAGGTGCCCACTGAAAAAGAATCTGTGAGGATGTTTATCAAGAATCTCCAAGAGAAGTATTCGAAGCATTTAAAGTATCAACAAAATTTTAATACTTTCAAGGCCGTCTATGATATCGGTATTGAAATCAAAGACGACCTCGCAAAGCAAAAAGTTACTAACAATAGTAATCACGGTGGCTGGAAAGGAAAGAAGAACGACTATCCTTCTTCTTTCGAAAACGCCCACTCTAGTAACAATGTTAGAACCTTTGACCATAACGGTGTCTTAGCTATGGATAATAAAGGATACAAAAAGAAACCCAGGAGAGAGTTAACACCCATTGGAATGACCTATGATGCTGCTTTTGATCGTCTCTATGATCATGGATTAATCAAACCTATTGGCCCTACCAAGGATCCAACGCCAGAAAATCGATCTTCGAGATGAAATCCCAACTCCTATTGCAAGTACCATCGAGGAATTGGTCATACCACTGATGAATGCTACAGGTTTCAAAATCTCATTCAAAATCTCATAGAAGCAAACAAGATCCCATTGCCTCTAGCCAGCAAGAAGACTGGGTGATGATGAAGCAAACAACACAAGACAAGAGGCCAGCTTCAACGACAAGATTTCATGACCTCTTTTTCCTTTTCTTTTCCTATTTTTTTCCCTCCCCCAATAAGTCTAGCATAGGAACCTTTCTTTTCCCTTGAATTTAATTTTGTAGATTCTTTATTTTTCCCCTTTTAATAAAATGAGCATTTATTTCCTTGCATATGATCATTGCATTGCATTAAAAAAAATCCATGTCAAACTAAGCAAAAGGTATACCAATGATTTCAGGCACCCCTTGTAGCTACATCATATCACCTTTCACCCTTCAAATATGCAATCCTTTTTTTGGTAAACCACTTTGAGCCTCGTCTAACGATAGACCCTTCATTTTTCAACCCATATCTACCTAATTTGGGATAGGATTGTGTGCAACTTATGCAATTTTCATAAAAAGCTTGAGTGAATTCAATAAATAAATAAAATAAAAATAAATAAAAGTGTACAAAAGGGCAAGTGTTCCAATGTCTTTGATATGAACATGTCTTCGATATGAACACGTCTCAGATTGCGTCTCTTATCGAGTGCTCGGTACCGTGCCTGAGAAACATGAATGCCAAGTGAGTGATAGACCGTATGATCGGGATTGCCCAAACTTATCAAAAGGTTCAAAATAAAAAAATGCAAAAGCAAAAAAGAAGAGAGCAAAAATAAAGCAAAAAAAAAAAAAAAAAAAAAAAAAAAAAAAAAAAAAAAAAAAAGAGAGCTAAACCTCAAGCATGAAAATACAAAGATTCAAAAGCAAGATTGCACACCTTGGGGGATTATCTAGGGTCTTGAGCCTTTATCCCTTTCTTCTTCAACCTTTAGCCTAACCACGTTACAACCCTTCAAAAGACCTTTTTGAGGTATACACACTTGTGCGAGGTTCGACTAGAGCTACGTTCGGCCTGATTCCTAACGGATACGTAGGCAACCTCACATCGAGGTGCGGCCGTAATAAACATGCATTCATATTCACATTCACGTTCAAACATCATGATCATATCAAGGGATCCCCTATGCTCATTCCTATTTACTTAGAGCTAGACTTGGGGGCTTGATCGTTATATCATTAGCTTACCCAGCCTAAGAGTCACCATTATTTGACTCTTTTCAATATATTTTCCACACACTTAGCCCTTGCAGCCTAACCTTAGTGCCACTTTCACACACTGCACATGACTATATATATTTTTCCTTAGGAACCCTCTGTCATGAAATCTTAACATAACACTGAAGCATGCCTTGTCATGTCAAAATCGCTCATCAATCATCATTGCACAAAGTATGAAGTACTTAGTCTCTGCGCCTAAGTTACCTGAATACTTTCATTATCGAGTCAACTAGGATAGTCTAAGATGTTACAATCCTTGTACTATGAGAGACAACATTTTATTAAGCTCATTCAACATGCACCTTCAAAAACTTCATTTTGATTTTTTTTTTGTCTTTCTTTTTCGGGAGAAAGTCGGTACCCTCCACAAAAATGAGGGAAATTTTTTGCTTTTTTGCGTTTTCGAGTCGCATGGTCACATTACAATGCACACACGAGTCATGTTCACATTCAGTCATGTCGTGTTATCACATTGAGTCAACACTAAGTCTTAGGTCAACCCTAAGAAAGATAAGCAAAGTCCTATAGTCAAAGATATAAACGCAGGTGCATCCCAGCAAGCGAAGACATTCCCGGATTTATTTCGAAAAAAAAACCGCGAATATGACACAGGAGATTCCTCCAAGATAAGAGGAGTTACATAGATCAGTAAATTAGAGATGAAGATCTTTAATTTACAAAAGATTTGAGCGGATTTGGTTGAAAGGAAATGACCAAGCTCAAAGTTCGGAGCAAAACCAATCAACAGCGGTAGCAAGAGCTAAATAGGAGAGACCCGACTCCAGCGCCAGACAACGACATCCAGCGTCTGGCAGCAGGTTTCAGCACCTGGCGCTAGATCCCAGCGTCTGGCGACAGAGCCAATTCTTGGCGCCAGAGATATTTCAGCAGCGACAAAGATCGAAGCCTCTCAGAACGGTTATTTGGACCTCTTTCAGCAATTTCGGGTTCCTTGGTAAGCCAGTTAGCCCCTATAATAAATTTGACATGATTAAGTAGTCAGATTGATTACAATCGCAATAAGTGATTGAACTAACGAAAGATCGTCTCACTTAGCTTAAAGCGCCTAAACATTGGCTCATCGCAAGACACCTACATACTGGTTCATAAACAGTAGAGGCACCGACATAATGGTTCACAAACAGCAAAAGCGCCGACGTACTGACATAGCGGAAGCAAAGTTCAAGCGATCTTTAAAGATCGACAAGCGTTGGTCTTCGAAAGTTTTCTTCAGAATATTATCGCAACAAACATTCAAGTATCAAAGCTCTATTGTTCAGAGACGCGTGGACATTTCTATCAAGCTCTTTTGTTCAGAGACGCGTGGACATTTCTTTCAAGCTCTTTTGTTCAGAGACACGTGGACATTCTTTTCAAGCTCTTTTGCTCAGAGACGCATGGGCATCCTATCATTCAAAAGCTCTTTGTTCAGAGACACGTGGACATATCCAAAAAAGCTCTATTGTTCAGAGACGAGTGAACATCAAAACAGCAAGATGGCGTTCTATAGATTGTGGAAGGTTGTCACAACGACAAATGCAGCAACAAATCAGTTACTTTCAGAGACGTATGCTCGACGGTGCAAGATACGCGTTTCTTAACTCTTTTATCTGTTTAACTAATGCTAGTTTTCAGGTATCAGCGTTACAAGAATGATTTAGGATCGCAGAACGTTCGGAATCATTATCCGTCCTATCGATACTTTGACTTTTGTTTTTGAAACGTGCGTTTCTCCAAATTCAGTCAAAGTAGGGGCTTTTGTAGACACACAAATGTGTCTCCCCAAAACAAAACCCAGTGATGTATACCTTTCATGTCATTTGATTATTGAAAAAAGCGAAAGTGTGAAAGGTCTAGTGATGAGGATGTTTTTATTAAAATATCTCTTCTTTCTGTTTTTGAAAATATTTCTTTTCTTACCTTATTTTTGAAAAACATGAATATAATTTTAGTTTGGTCCATGATATGAGTCCACACAATGGTGTAGTTGGATGGGGTTTGAAAATACCTTTCCAACGATATATTATAAGCCCAATTCGGATGAATAATGAGGAAGTTATGGCCAAAATACTAAACTGGGCTCGAACCGAATCTTACCTACGACCCAATGATCATGTGGAGGGTCTAAAGGTCTAATCCTATTCCTAAACTAATTAGGATTAATTAGAAGCTTGTATAAGTTTTTAAAAGATCTTAATTATCTTTTTTGAAAAGATAAGATTAAAGAATTTGAGTTAAATAAAAACTTTCCTTTTTTTAAAAACTTTTTTTTTCTTAAATCTTAATCATGTTCAAAGATAGTAAAATATTATTTTTGTGACTCATAATATTTATCCAAATTTTATATGGTTGGATAGATCTTGAAATTATCTTTCCAATGATATATAATAATATTAAATCTGAGTTATAACGAAAAAGATATGAATGGAATATGAAACTCTATCCAAAACTAACACCCTTCCACTATTTCGACCATATTTTTTTATCTACAAAATATTTTAATCTGATTTTAATAGTTTTAGAAAGTAGACTTCAAGAGATTTCCAACGACATATTATATGCTTTATTTGGACTTATGGATCAAAAGATATGATAAAACCAAAATCCGCAAAAACTGTTGTCCATCGAGTTTTATTCCGATTCGAATTCAGATTTATTTCTTATTCTTCGACCCTCTTTTTTCTCTACTAGTTATGGACTTCCGCGCGCACGATACGCGCGCTCCTTTTGGCGAATCGAAATATTTTTGCATAGCACTTAAGGTAAAAGTGTAATTAATTTGTTGAATATCTACAAATATAATGTTACTTTACATATGGATTAGTAATGTCGTTGTCTATGTAGTGATGCTCAAATTAAAACAAAGGGTTTTAGAATCATATAGGTACAAAAGTGTGTCTTTTGATCCCATGGACAGAGGTTAAATTACAAGAGTTTACTTAATGTTAGAGGAATATGAGTACAAAAGAGTAGTAAGATTTTCCATTTCAAATGCAACAAAAATTACAAAATCTCTGTTCAACTCTTTTCGGCATACATCCCCAAATTTCTTGCCAACTTTTCTTCTTGTTGGTTTGTTTTACCTACTTCCAATTGTTTTCTTGTGGTATCTTTGATTTTCTGTAGCAAGTTAAAGCTTCCCTGAAACATAATGTAAATGATTAAATACAATGTGATATTTGGCATAAGATTTAATTCAATCTAATCAAAGACTAAATTTGTCTTAAAACGAGCTCTCCTGTATTCTTCAAACTTAAATATACATCTCGAAATGCAAATTTAGAGCATCTTTTGTCCTTGCCCCCACTGAATTGTTTAGCCCTCTCATTAAATTCAGCAAAAAAAAGTGAAGATTGCTGACCACCGTCGACAAAGCATTACACAACAACCAAATCTAGGTAACCCAAACAAATTAAAATCAGAGAAATAATATGCAATAAAGAATGAACTGATCACAAAAACAAACATTGTCCACGTTTACGTTGAACTGGGCTTCCCCTTTGAATTTTCAATAAAGGTAATCTATAAAAACCATCAGAAATCCAAACTCAAACTTAATTTTGTTTAAACCTCTAAAAAATATAAGGATAAGGAGATTTGAACCCAGGACTATTTAACCATCAGAAATCCTTAATCAATAGGCAATATTTTCCTCAACCAGCCGACACAATCTAGTCAACTCTTTGGACTACAAATGGGTAAGAGAAAACATGTAGGAGCCATCAATAAAAATCATAAAATCGAAAAGTGTATATTTTAAAACCATGTATGATGGGCCTCTTAAACATCCTAGACTATGCATGTGAAAGGAAGTGCTCAATGCAAATATCACCTTATCATGCAGAGATTAAGTTGTCACCTCAAGGCTCAATTCAATTCTCCGATTTACAAAGGCACGTAACCTTACAAACTAAACAATCTAAAACGACTACAGTAGTACATATGTCTAATACTTCAATCTATGGAAGAGTTTTACTTCACCTTACAGTATCTATTATGATTTATAGTCTCCTCCTTGACTCAACCGAGTTGAGCTTGAACTCGCTCACAAAGCTCCATCTTCTTCCTCTTCTTCTCAATCTCTTCTTATGCCTTGAAAATCTACGAAGCAGAGCAAAATTAAGGTGTATGATCATTCTCATAAGAGTCTTAAACAGCTGTAAACCTATCAAATTCACTGGTTAAAACCTAGCAAATAATTTGGTAAACCAAATAGGGTATATATTTGTATGTTATGATTCATGCTCTTTCTTTTCCAGTCATGGATAATTTATCTCATAACCATTCTTTGCATCAGCATTCACCTTTTGAATTAGCTATAGCAATATCCCTGAGCTGTATCCCATTGCTACATGAAAGCCTCGTAGAAATAATTACACTTAGCCATGATTTAATCCCACCGCATGCACCTACACAGACACCAGAATCATAGCTTAATTAGTATCTTCTGCATAAGGCGAAAGGCCCTGAGAGCATACATGATACATTTACAGCAAACTAACAAGTATTTGCCAGTTTAACCTTTAGAATTACAAAGTCCGTAATTCAAATGATATAATTACAAAGAAATTGAAAAGTGGTGAACACACGATTACTAATTTTAATAATATATAAGAATATATGATAAAAATAGAAATTTCTGACCTCGACTTTCAAGGGCCAGCATGAGCCACTGAATAATGATCAATAAGCGCTAACAATAGATCTACCACCCAAAAAATCTAAACCTGCAAAATTACCAACAATATAACAAAAACCTTTCTTAAATGCAAAAGCAATTAAAGGGTGAAAATAACCTTCAGATCTTCAAATTGTAAGAATCAAAACTAAACCAAAAATTAATTAAAAAAAAATTGAAAAAGATTTCAACAGCATAAAAAACCAAAAAATCTCAAACTGTAAGAAATTTAAAGAAAACTTTATATTAAAAAATACTAACAATGCGAAATAAAAAATAAAAGAAAACTTACCTCTTTTAATTGTTGAAAAAGAGGTTTTCCCTGTCTTTCAAATTCCCTCTTTCAATTGTCGAAAAAGAGGTTTTCCCTGTCTTTCAATAGCTCGACTGTATCAAAGGGGTTGGAATCGTAAAGTTGGCCCAAAAACCTGGAAATCCATGAGCGACAAGTCGACCAAGAACACTGAAAATTGGATCATCAAAACAATACATTAAGTGAAATTGATAATAATTATTATGGAATAATCAAAATAACTTTTTTAAAAAGAAAGAGGATAGAGCAAATGGTACCTCAACTGAGCAAAGAGACCCTTCTTCAAGAAGGGAGGAATGCAACCCACCGAAAACTGAGCAATTCAGGAGAAATCAAATAAAGCAATTCAGGAGAAATCAAATAAAGCAAGTCACACTACCATGAGAACAATACAAACCAACTATTATTTTTCAAAAAAATTAAATACAAACCAACTATTAACTGCTGAACACTATTCCCTTTCCCATGAGAACGACACAGACCAATTTAGACTCCCCTCACAGCCTCACACATACTGATATGCAATCAGAACTCATAAGCCACCAAGCAATACAAGTACATTGTGGTCATGCACCTTTCTATATAACTGTGACTACTGAAAGTATAAGAGCATAAACCTAGTATAATTTAGCAGAACCTTAACACTTCCAAAATGGGCAGTGTGAAAATGGCAAGGAAGAGGGTGATTAAGAGATGGATCGAACAAATTGTTTGACAATTTTTCATCAATCAATCTCTCTTTGATTTGCAACATCAATCCGATTTAATAAGGATATATATACGTTGTTGGAGGTCCTCAAATATTAGACTTAAGTAAAACACTCCAAGTAGGTGTGTAATAAGAGAAAGTGACATCAAGAACTTTGATAACCAATCCAACTGTATAGAAATAGCAACAACTTTGACACCCAAACTAATCAATCCAAAGCTGCTAGAGTTATAGACCAAACCAAAAAAAATAAAAAAAAAATAACTTGCTGCTATCAATACCAAATCTAACCCCCACCTCCTATCAGTCATTAAACGTATAAGCTAATAAAAAAACATCACACATGAAATACAATGCAACCCTTTACATTTAATATCCTAACCATTCAAATAATGTATGTTGTACCAAAAAAAGTAATAGACAAATGTAAACTAACCATACCAATAAAACACAATCAGCAATTCCAACTAAAACCTCAAAATCCCACTGATTGTTCAACATTAGCTTCCTTTGATTCAATATTTGAAACCCCCAGGAGCTTCTTTTTCTTCCATCGAAAGATTTCAACAATCGAAGCTTTCTTCATTTTGATGGAATAGTTGAGAGTTGTAGTCTTACCATCATCTTCTCCACAATTGATCTTGTTTCAGGATCCAAGTCAGAAAGCTTACTGCTTTCAAGTTCAGCTTTCTACTTATCAATTTCAGGCTCATCTTTGATCAGACATCTCCACCAATCCATTTGGTCATGCTTAGTAAAGAGAATTGAAATAGACTTTTGATCCTCTGAAGAAAAACCAGAATAAGGGTCAGAAAGATAATCTCCATCCTAACCATCAGAAAGATAACATTCCAAGCATTGTGTTTTATTATGCGCACAATTGTTTGTATGTAAACGGCCGATTATAACTATCTCAACTGTTGGTATACCATTTACGATCTTAAATTACAGCAAAAACAGCAGTAAGAGAAAAATTACCCTAAAATATTCAACCCTAAACATTGGAAGAATAAATTAATCTAAAACGAAAAACATAGGTAGAACCGTAGAAGAACTGAGGCAGCACCATTTTGGTGCCATATTCCGGATTCAACCAACCTCCATCTATTTGCTCGCTTGCCTATTCCGAGTTTCATCACATGAATTAGGCCGAACTAGTCTTGATAAGCTGCAATCCAAAAGCAAAACTCATCTGAAACCCTAAATCAATTAAATTCGAGAAATTAAAAACAAAATTAATCAATTAGGTAATCTATAAAAAAACATCAGAATTCCTAAATCAAACTGAAAATAAAATACCCAAATCCTAACTATTTTATAAAACAAAAATAAAACACCAGAAAAACCAAAAGAATTCTAAAGCCTTATACCCCCTGTTTCGGGGTTTTCTGATGTCCTGCGGGAGAGTTACAATTCCGAGACTGGAACCGGACGCCTGTACCTGCAAAATAACGGAGACTCCTGAGAGCTCCGCCTCCAACGGTCAAGTTAGTACCTGATTAAGGAGTAATCAACACAGAAAGTAAAGTAATGAGATCTCTCTAGGTGAGAGTGCTTAGTGTTGGTAATCTGCGTCGTTAGCGAGATTAGCCGGTTGTTAATAAGTCTGTTTTTCTCTGCTTGATCTCTTAATTATTCGGTTCCGTGATTAATGAGGATTAATCGAGTATTTATAGCCTTGGGAAGCGTGCAGCTCTCTAGGTTTAAGGTAAACCCAGGGCTGATCGGGCCTCTAGACTGAATTGGGCCTTGATGACCGGTTGTCCCACTTGGCATGGGTGGACACGTGGCGTGTCTTAAGTGGTCCGTGGAGGACGTATCTGTGACTGACACGTGGCAAGCTCCTGTTGGCCTTCGTGAAGGACACGTGGCGGAACCTGGTTGGTCCACTTGTCAGACGGTGATTGGTGGATAAAAATCCCCTAATCATTTGCCCCTCACAGGTGGCACGCGACTGGTCACGTGTCGCCTGTGACAGGTGTCGCACGGTGACAGGCGACGGCCCGTTACAGGTGTCACCTTGCAGACGGCCGAGAGATTTTCCCGCCCAAATTTGAATTCGGAAGCGACCCTTCGCCTTCTCATTTCGCCTATAAAAGGAAGTGCTGACTTCGGTCATTTTCACATTTGAGAATTTTTGCGAGAACATTCGGACCCCTGAACTTGCTCTGACATTTCGGACTTTTTCTGCCTACCGCCTGTTCTGACAAGCCGACTGACCCGAACTTCCAGGACTTCATCAACCGTCACCCGTTCAGGTAACTCAGTTCTCTTACTCTTAATTTTCTTTTTATTTTTTGAAATGGCACCATGGAAGCACACGACACGCCCTAAGTTAGTGATCAGCCGGTCACCGGGGACGGCTGAATCTAGGACTAGGAGTGCCGCCTGCCCTTTTCTGGACCCATCTTTGCCCTTTATACAAAGTCCGACTGAATCTGTGTCTATGCAGAACGTGATGGCCAGAACAAAAAAGACTGCTATGATATCAAACTCAGACGGCTCCTCCCAAAGGGTGCTCCTTAGCGAAACATCTGACCAGGCGCCAGATGTAGAACGAGGCGACTGTCAAGCTGACAGTTCTGAGAGAGGGACCAAGGTGTTCCCTTCTCATCTAACCGTGGACATGTCTAATTTTCCTTCTGCTCCTTCTAAGGGAGAGGAGGCGGGCCCCTCTAGGAGAGGGGAGGAGTCGTCCTCTTCGGACTCGTCAGGGGACGAGTCCGAATCCAGCTCTTCTGACAGTAGTTCTTCTGGCTCAGAAGAAAAACATAGCCGCCTACAAGAGGCGAGAAGTTCTCATGCAGTGGAGAAGGGGGATAATTGGGCAGAGCCGTCCGCCTCTTACAGAGAGGAAAACGCCCCTTACTACTGCAGGGTGCCCCGGGGCCGGATTGCAACCATGCGAGACAACGTGGCGAGCTTTATTGCTAACCACAAAATGGGCCCGGAGTATTTACTGTTTGTGCCGGATCCAGAAGATACTGTCGTCTGGCCGGCTGGTACCAGCTATGGTGATGGCTGCTTTGGCTGCTATGTGGCGGCCATCAAAGCTGGACTGCGCTTCCCATTACATCCGGCTGTTCAGCGGATTTTAGATGGGTATGATCTGGGGTTATGGCAGTTAGCCCCCAACTCTTGGGTAAACGTACTCGGCTATGTGGCCGGGTGCGAATTGAACGGGGTGGAGCCAAGTTTTGAGGCTTTCGCCCACATGAACTATCTCAGCCGGACCCCTAAGTCGGGAGGTACCGGCTGGTATCAACTAACAAGCCATAGGGGTTACCTCATGACGAGAGGTAAGGCAAACAAATGGAAGGATTGGCGGAACACCTTCCTTATTATCGAGAGTTCAGACACGGAGCTGAACAAACGTTTTAACAAGTGGAATAGGGATCCGCCTCTTCTCGCAGGCGGCCGCAGCATGCCGCCTGTTCCCCCAAAGGCTAAAAAAGAGATCCTAGACAAAGGACTCTTCAAAGTAGAGACTAGGGTGAACTCTACTTCAGGGGTACGAGAGCAAGTACCCCTAAATTGCGTCCCGAGCTTCAAGTGGCTCTATGACGAGTACTTCTTGGCCGCCTGTGGCCTCGGCAGTCGGTGCTCTAGAGGTAGCCGGCCTGACGAATACTTTGTTTCTTCACGCCTTGTTTACTTGGGATTTTTACTAACTTTGCTGTTTATTTCTTTCAGCCGACGCCATGAGTAAAATAACAGCATCTAAGACTGCGGCGGCCATGCTGCGGGTCTCGCTAATGAAGCAGTCGTATGCCGACTCCCCCAGCAAGGAGGCACCCTTGGTAAGCTTTGAAAACTCTTCTCCTTTTAGTTGTATTATGCATATACTAACTCTTTTTGTTTTCAGTCTGGCACTCCAAGGGCTTCTTCCTCGCAACAGCCGGACCCCAAGGCCCGGAGGACGACTGTTGCAAGCTCTCCTGGGTCTTCCAGGAAAACAGTGGCGGCTGAGAAGCAGCCGGCCACTTCTTCAAAAACCCAAGCGGGGCCGCCTAGATGTATGGACCCTTACTTGTAAAAAACTCACCCTTGCTTCCTTCTTGATTAAGTCTAACTTGTTTTATCCTTTTACTTAATGCAGCCGGCTCCCAGGGTCTAGACTTGGTTGAGGTAGCCAAGTCTATGGTTAAAGTAGTTCCTCCCTCTGACAGGGAGACGGTCAAGGGTGCCGGCACCCTTGACCTCGATGGAATTTCAGGGATCCTAGCTGAGGTATACTTAGCACCTTTTTGAGCTTTTGAGTTCCAGGACGCCTGTTAACTCTTTTGATTGGAAACTGACGCCTGTTTTTCTTTGTACTTAGGCCCTGCTCCGAGTCAACAGCCTTCGCAAGCCGATTGATCGGAAAAACAAAGAGGTAAAGGCCGCAAAGGCTATGGCCGCCTCCAGCTGTGATAAGGCAATGTTTCAAATTGCCCAAAATGAAGTACTGACCATTGATCTTCTTTATTATCAGGCGCAGGCGACCGCCGCTGTTCGGGCTCAGCTAGAGGCGGCCCAAAAGAAGGTTGACGAGCTGGAGGGGACCGTCACCAAACTTAAAGCCGAGCTGAAGCCCCTTCGCCAGAAAATGCACTCTTACGAAGCCATGGAGAAATCTTTGGCTAACGTAAAAGAACGCCTGGTGAACCAGGAGAAGAGTCTTACCCAAGAGCTCTCGGACAAGGCCGAGCAAGAGAAACAAGAGCTCGTCCGGGAGATGGTGGAAGACTCCGCCCAAATCCAACGCATGACCTGGGAACGACTGTTCCCCAGTGCCGACTTTGCCTCATGGGAAAGAACGTACCGCCAGTGTTCGGAAATATATAATCAACAGATCCTGGCGGCTGCTGAAGAAGAGGCGATGGACGTTGCGTTGGAGGAGGAAGAGCCGGTTGTGGCGCTTGTGCCACTTGGGGGTAAGGCATCAAAAGATGATGCAGCTAAGGCCGAGTCCAGCAAGAAGAGTGCTGACCAGGCGGCTGCTGCTGATACTGAACTGCCCCCTTCTTAAGATTTAAGTATATTTTTTTTCTTTTCACGGCCTGCGTGCCGTTTGCTTTGTAATTACCCGGCCAGGGGGCCGGGGTTTTGAATATTCTGCTGGTCTTTTATGGCCGGCTCATTTTAATCAAAGTTTTTGTTTTTGTTCAAATTTGTCTAAGTATTTGAAATTTGCTCACTTGACCGACTGTTGTGTATGGCCGAACGTTAAGACAGGTATATGTAGTAAGTATGCCGCCTATGCCCCTGGACGACTGGTTGTCTGTTTCCAGGATAGATGATCAGTCGGCCATTTAATCAATCGGTATCCGAACTCTTTATTCAATTTGACCAAGTAAATAGAATTACCTAGTAGCCAAGGAATTTAAGTAGGAAAACAAGCGGCGGGTACCGGTTGTTTCCCTTTATTGCCAATGTTGGCTTTTAACTCGTTATTTGTTAACCTAGCAAGAGTATTGGTTGAGAGCCTTTGTTTATTAAAAACAAGTGGACGACTCATACCTTTTAGGCTTCATACTAAGTTTGAGTGACTATTAAGTTAACATAGGAGTTACTTAGTCTTTGTCACAATCTTTATTAAGTAGTAGAGGTATCAGGCGGCGTAGGCCGGCTAGACCCCTTGATTCACCAATGTTTGTTGGATATTAACTCAATAGGTTATCCAGTAGGAATAAGGGTTCAAGTGCCCTTGTTTGTTTAAAACAGGCGGACGACCCAAACTTTTTAGGTTCCATACCAAATTTGAAGGAGTGACTATGAGTTAACTTTGGAGTTACTCAGTCGCCGTCACTTTTGTTTGAGAAGTAGAGGTACCAGGCGGCGTAGGCCGGCTAGACCCCTTGATTCGCCAATGTTTGTTGGCTATTAACTCAATAGGTACCCCCTGCATTTATCCCAAGTAATACAGGCGGTTATCTGACTCAGATGTCAACTGCTACCATTGGTTTGGTTAGTGATAGAGTTATCTTTGTCTCAAAAACGGCTACGTGGTTGCCCTTGGGGACAGTCGTATAGGTGCCGTGTAATTAGTTTATAGAACAATGTTCCACCCAAAAGGGAGCTGCTCTCTGCGACGAATTTCATCCGGAGGGATGCCGTCGGACGCCTGCTATGATGTTGGGACAGGTCGAATTAGTTTTGTAGTTTTGATCAGGTGGCTTGGCGCCTGGTCTGATCATTCGGCCGGTGGCCTTGGTAAGTTCTTGGTGAACGTAGGTGCTAAGTAAAAGAAGGGTAGCCGCCTGTTAGGTACAGGATCGGCCAGGCCCTAATCTTTTTAGCTAAGTATTGTGAGTAAAATACTCGATGGAGAGTAGCCGACTGTAAAGGAACAGACGGCATGCCCCTCTAAAGATAGTGAACCTCAATGGAGAGTAGCCGACTGTAAAGGTAC